GCAACAATAGCCGTTTTCACGATGGCCATCTCGTACACATTTGGTGCACATCTGGTACAGATTAGGTGCAGATTTGGTCAAATCAGGTTCAGTGTGTCTCTTAGCAGCTATCAGCTAGGGTTGCACTAATTGCTTATATGCCTGTTTTGTCATATTATCAAAGGGCATCATCGATTAAAACACTGAAATAAATTCATAAAATGAAGATATTTGCTGTAAAAGAAATTAGGTGCAGATTTGGTCAAATCAGGTGCAATCGCCGGATAGCCAGTCGTGAGAACGGCTATTATCGACTGAACATGACGTCACTCTGACATCATTTACAGCTGACCTACTATACCTATGTAGCTACGACATTCCGTCATAGGCACAAGGTGTCAAAGTGTGCAGCCGAAATTCCTGAAAGTCCGTGCTGATATGGTCAGAGTTTTAGAAGATATTGAAGAAAATGGGAGGAAGCTCCGTACAGCCGTCTCCCTCAGTCATGCGCGGGTTAGACCTGATGGCAGAGGAACGAGTCACTCGAAAACTTATCAAACGTATGGCGTTTTGAATGCAAAATATTATCAAGAGCGTTTCATACTAACGGGGTTAGTCGGGGTTGGCGTGGACTGCTACATTTCCGTGGACTGCAATTGCTTATTTTTATCATGATAAAAGACTTTCCCTTTTTCCCTCGATTGACAAATATCAGATTCTAGAAGAGACATGTTTCCATAAAATGGCATGTTATTTATACTATGAAATGAAGGTATCGACAACGAAAATTGCTTTTAAAAATCGTGTTTTACTGACGCTTCTGACAATCGCAGGCACGTATCGCACACAAAATTACAGTCATATATTGTCTTCACGATAACTCTTCACACCAGAGCTTAGTGCTGTGGATGGATTCGCTAGCACGCTTCTCGGCTCCGGGCTGTGTTTAGACACATTCAAACCGTGTTCCAGCCCACGCTGCCCGCGCTGCGGTCCCTCAGAGAGGCCTGCGCCCTCAGAGAGGCCATTAGTTGGAGCGTGCGCCGCTCCTGTCCCGGCGAGGACGCCTCTCAGAGACAGCCGACCGGCCGGCCCGGCGCGGCGCCGACATGGGCCGGCCCCCGGCCGCCTCCAGTTGCCATGTTTGGTAATTTATCGGCCCTAAACTAAACAAAACGCCTCTCTATCGCGCCACCAGGCAAACATCCGCCATAAAACACAAAACTCACCTGGATTGCCGTCCAATAGGCCGGCCCGGCCGCGACTCGTTTTACGGTTGGCATTTAGCCGGCGCTGAGGGCGCGGCACGGTGACTGGTGCGCCAGATTGGTGCCGACCGCGCCGTGTGTCGCCGCGCGGACGGACAACACCGGCGCGCCGCCGCCCCGAGTGTCATCAAGTCGTTTGCGGTGGCCACGAGACGCGCCTGCACGTGCCTCGGCCCGCGGCGGGACGCAGCCCCGGCGGGGCGGCGGATTTGAGCCCAATAGAGACGTGACTGGGATTGGAGGGGCCGACAGGGGATCTAGGGTAATGTGCGAGGAAATGTGGGCTGGTATTGTCATTGTTTTGAACTTCTTTGTGCTGCTTTAGTCAAAATAGAGGAAATGTTTTATGCAAAAAAAAAAAGCGTTTCAAGTGGAAGCGTATAAAGGGAAAAGAAGGTAGAGATGCTAATTTTATTGTTCTACCTACTCGTACTTGTTCACATCATTATTGGGGTAAAATCACCACTTATTGAAGAAGTGGGCTCTACTGGTGGTCTCGAAATAAGTAGCCCTTTCATCAATTATGTATATAGTTAACTAACGCATAGAGTACGGCAATGCATATACCGTGCACAATATCACTTCACAAAGCGACGTCGAAACCTTCAATCTTCATGGACAATGGGTGGTGATACCCTGCTGTGAAGCCATGCAGTCTCGTCGTTTTATTACTTTTACGCATACTGTGCCGCAGAACATATCAATCATGCGGCACAGTATACCCATTCAGGCGCGATAAAACAAGGGGTCCCATAACGCACGGAGACTGCATTATTACATAAGAGCGCAGCACCAATTCGAGCGGAGACTCCATTTACGCACAGAAAAGGAGCACCAATGACTGTGACAGCGAGTGATATGTTCTTGTGAGCAGCTGCGGTCTCCAGATCTTGCGGAAACACGGGCGGCGCGGCGGAGCTGAGAGTTGAGGTGCCATTTTGGCGCACTTTTATGCGTGATGAGATATAATATTTCATGACATGCCAGTGCATCACAGGGACGATAACGATGATATCGCTAGTGATAGCTGCAAAATTTTATCATTGTGAAAAAGGGTTCTTATCAGTGTTTGCCACAGTTGAAGTAGGTATTGCTTACAAGCATGGGTGCGGGTACGGGTGCCATACTTCCCTGCAGACTGCAGTCCTTTACATCACCCATAGATCGTGATAACGAGGGCTCCCTCTGCGATATAATTTAGCGGCACTTACCACCGCTCAATGAGCCGGGCAGGACGCACCATCCTCAGATGACGCGATAAGACCTGCAAGACTCGGTGCAGCTCATTTGGAAGTGTTTCAACCGCAATCGAGCTCGTGTCAGCGATATTTGAGTTTGGTTACTGGGGGCAAAAAGAGGATGGCTTTTGATATGGTTGCTGGACATCAGATGTTTCCTACAAATAGGTACTATCCCCATACTTTATTAAAATGCGATTTTATATACTTAGGTACACTGCAACTGTATTGATGAAATAGTTCGGACAGGTCAAAATCGGGCGTGATTACTTAACCCATATCGGTACAGAACGCGACGAAGTACAGCATAGAACTTGAAGACTCTTCTCTTTGATAATCTATCGCATCAATGGCTTGCACCTTAGCATGTCGTCAGTACAAAATGTTGTGGTAGCTTGCTCAACGATGAAGTTATTCACCGCTAATTGCAGCAGTGATCAGCTAATCGAGAAATCGCAGCAATTTATTTGAATGGAGGCATGAATCGCCGCACAAGTCACAACACAGTGCACAGAGCGTAGGTCGCGGCAATTCAGTGGAAGCATTAGAGCTTCAGTCAGCCTCAGGTATGTACGTACCTCAGCAACTCGTCTTTTTTGTATTGAATCAGGATTCTTTTCTCATCCTTTTCTTGTTCAAACCGCCGTGAACAAAATGGCGTCGTTCCTATACGGAAGTCCGAGGTGTCTCGTTTACTCGCGTGTCGTGACCTCGGCCAGGCCCGCGCCGTTGTTCATCCGTAGGTCGGGGATCGCGTGTCGGTTACACGATATACGACCACCAGTCTGTATAGCGTGGATCTGGTATCGTGTATCCCACTTATCCCATCCCATCCCAACACCGGACCGGGGTCGGACCAATCAGGGTCTCTCCACCGAACGGTCCAACATCGGACCGGGGTCGGACCAATCACGGTCACTCCACCGTCCGGTCCACCGAGTGGCGTGATCCTCAGCCGGCTCTACCTGGGTCTCCATCTGTCCTCCATCGGCTCTTCATCAGTCCCAGTCCGGTGGATCAGGCTCTACCTGTCTTGCCACTGGTTCTCCACCGGCGCTACACAGGTCCAGGGTTCGACTCGTCCCCGAAGTAGGACCCGCCACCATCCCTCCGCCAGGCTGAACCACGTTTGAAACCCACCGTCATCCCACCGACCCGCACCCATCACCTCCTTTCACCCACCCACCCAGAGTCGACCCCACGTGTCAGCGGCAGACCCGAACCGACCCACCTCGGCCCAATCGACCAGCTATCACATCCTCCCGTATTGGTAAACGAACCAGGGCGCTGTGTCGATCTGCCTTCATCTGGCGTTTATAGTGCTCCTATCCCCAGCTCTAAATCTGTCCACGGTGCCCACCCGGTACCAGGGCGGGTATCCAGACCTCTCCCCGTGTCAGCCAGCCGGCCAGGCGGTCAGTATGCAAAGGAGGCAGAGCCCGTTCGCAGATGTAATGACTGCTCGCCTAATGATGCCGCGTAATCGCACGGTGGACGGAGGGATGGGAAGGATTTGAAACGTTAACGAACCGGTCTGATCGGGTTGCTATTTGAGCGGGCTCATGGCTTACTGATTTCCCAGGAATGGTTTCGCTTGGAATGAGATATTGCATTCTCTTTTCTCGTGGATTAGCTTGGTATAATAATGTCGCTTTGAATAATCATATAGGTTTTCAGAAAAGATACCAGCAATGTCCCTCATCAATAGGGAGGCTAAACCACTATGCGAGAGGCGTAGGTAAGCATTACGTCGTCTAATTCTTTTAAATGTTCTATTTTTACGAAACTATTAGGCACGCTTTGAAATATTTATGCTGCGTCGATATCTATAACTATAACTACGTCGATGTATGTGACAAGATATCGTCAGTTTGAATATCGTGATCACTTTAAATCGCACGTCATGCTTGCATTTTATTTTGAAGCATCATCGTAATAGATATTGTAGCTTTCATTCTCATCAGCAGTATTTAAACAAGTTCTACAGTGTTCCCAGATCGCGTGGATCCCTATTTTCCGTTCAATCTTATCACCAGCTTCCTCTATTTATCTCCGAAGACGCGCTGCTTGACGACAGGTTCAAGGCTCCTGGCTATTCAGGCAGGTATTAGCTCTCTATAACTCCAATCACCTCTCCAAGTGTGACTAATACTCGCCAAGCTGATTATGGAATGAAACAAAGCTGATAAGATTAGCATGCCGGCACGCCACCGGCGACAGAGAGCCGCGATGGCGGTCCTCGGGCCGCGTCCTCTCGATCGCCGCCCGTTGTTGGCACACAAAGCGCGGCGGACCAGAAGTGCCCGATCATGCCAGCACTTTGTCCCGGTGCGGTACAGCGCCGGCCGGCCGCCGCGGACCGGCGAGCGGCGCTCACTCGCAGTCCGGCCCTCCGCCACCGAGCCGGCCGGCCGGCCGCCGAGCAGCGCGCTGATTGGTCAACCGCCCGCTCCCGGTCGGCTCCCATTGGCCGGCGGCTGGCGTGCCTTACACCTGATTAGCCACAGAGCACGGTGATTTATCAAAGACGGCCTTCCGGCGGCGGAGATGTCTCCGCGAGCAACAAGGGCACATCTCGCCACCCACCGCCTCCACTCCTAGGCCCTTGTTGTCCGCCGGCGCCGAGATAGCGCGCTGCCCTGATTGCTCCCGTTTGCCCGTAAGCTATTGGCTCTCGGTGACTTCTGTATGCTACCCGCCTTGCCAGTGGTCACGCTCGCCGCGAGGAGGCTGCTGCGTCGCGCCGTCGCTCCGCACGGGACTCGCTGAAGGTTTTCGGAGCGCGCGCGGAGGTCAGCGCGATGGAGACGTGTGTGCTGCTGCCCCAGGAGTTCTCCCTGGTGGTGACCAGTCCGGCGGACGGCGACTCCAAGACGCTGGACACCCAGGTGCAGGTCTGGAGTAACGCGCGGATACCGCAGGGGGTGCGCGTGTACCCGTTCCAGGGGACCGTGAGGCTGGACACGCTGGATGTTCTCGGCTACCTCAGCCCGACTGATGTGAGTACCAGGGAGAGGGGAAAGATAGGGTGAACTGAGTTGTGGTTGTATGTTGAAGTTTTTGGTGCTTTATCTCATGCAGGCTACTAAGCGCTCAATGGTTTGTGGTCAGAGGAGTGTTTGATGAGAAGACGTGGTGATTCTGTGGCCTGAAATAAGAGCTCAGAGGTGCTGTGATGCTGACAAATATGATGTGTATGAAGTCTGAGTTCCTTGGGAGGACGGCTGGTTGCGGTCCCCTCTAGCAGCAATTCGCGTCTGTCAAAAATTCTGACCCCATCCACATCCGTCTGGCTTGTAACAGAGTCTGTAAGTGTGATACAGATGTAATGGCAAAGCTGAGTAGTCTGAATATGTGCCACCCTTGTGATTTTATGGGTAGCAGTTCTATCGTGATTTATGAATATGCAGAGCATGTGACCAAGAGGATCGCTCGATTGTTGAGGCAGTGTCACTCGCGCCAGCTCAAGATACACTGGGTTTTCTCAGAATCGCTCGAAAATTATGTACCTATCATAACAAATAACATGCAGGGTGAAGATATCATAAAGGAAAGATGACTTGCCTGGATGCCACTCGTCCAAAGTTGAATATCTCATGATAAAATATAAAAATGCTGCTAAGTAATTATTTTAGTTGGTTACATGCGATGTATGAAAGTCCCATATTATGGATATGTACCTATCAAATCAATTTCTTCAAAAACCTGAGCAGCTGAAAGTTAGAACTGATTTCATCTTAACCCGCGAGTTGCTGGGGGGGCGTTAAACGCCCCCACTTTTTTCGCCGGGCCATAGCATAAAAACGGCGCGCCGCAGGCGCGCCAAATTTTGGGTACCTGTAGGGAATGGAATGAAGTGTATTGTGACAAAGTTTCAAAAAAATCGGTCGGAAAATTTTTGAGATATCGAGGTTTTAGTGACGTCATGATTTCTGAGTTTTCGACCAAAAACGGCATATGTTAAAAAAATCATATAAAATCACAGAATAGACATACAGACATGCCGTAAACGCCATTAGACTGCCAATACCATGAACAATCAAATGGCTATCTTCGATTATTGATTATCGTTCCGCATTTCCAAAATCTTGAACTGAATCTTGGCAATTTCTCGTGACTACTTCACGACCATGATACATGAATTTATTAAATTGAACATTTTGAGCCAAACACGTACACATATGATAAAATGAATGTCACCATCGTGTTCTACGCCCCAAATTACCCATAAAACATGTGTCACAGGCTGCGAATATCAGTTTTGATTTTTGGGGATATGTGCCTACCCGGTTGACCTGACCTTGACCCTGACCTATGCTTGACTGACCCCTACATGGAGCTGACACTCTTGTAGGCCTTATATGATGGATTGTGCACCGTTTTGACAGAGTTTATGACGAGAGGCGCCCATTGCGAAGTCCTAAAGTCAATGCTACTGAAAGCCCGATTTCAGGTGTTTGACCTGACCTTGACCCGACCTGTGACCTCAAAATTCAACTTTAAAGTACTCATTTGAAGCGTCTCGTCGCGCTCTTTCGTTTGCCGCCTCGTGCGTTTCGCTGCGCCTATTGGTTCTCGAGTTATCGACTGGGGGCGTTTAACGCCCCCCCCCCCTCCCCAGCAAACGGTGGGTGGCGAAATACCCCAGCAACTGCCGGGTTAAGCAATGCGATCTTAGCGTTGTCTTAGCAATGTCTTCGCGTTCACCCAGTCTGTCGATTTTCAGAGGTCAATGGGCAGCTTGCTAAGGTATTGATTGAAATCCAACACCAACATTTGATAGGAAACTAAGCTCATCGATTTGTCATCGACCGTACATCACTCTGAGCATAGGTCCACATCAAGCACTGCGCGTCAATCGTATCTGATGAAGCTTGAAGCAGAAGTGAGACGTTAACAAATGAACTTTCCCTATACTGTATCAGATAATCAAGCCAATCTGTCGTTACAAAAGGTAAAAGTTGGGACACTCCAATATTGCAAGACTCATTTGTCTCACTTCTTGTCTCAATCTGTGTCCAGGTCCGATAGTAAGTTTGCCAATATTTCCTTCGATGACGCTCGTCTCCAGCTATTCCATGGTGTTATCATAATAGATATTAGATAATACTAGTTGTGGAAACAGGGATGCGAGGCCGAATGTCCAGCATGGACAAGCGAACACTGTTGCATGAGTTGCTGTGAGTAATCGACCAAATAATGAGAGGACATAAATGTGGTACATAAATGCTTCTGCGACTTTGAATAAATATGAAATAGTTATATCAAAATATTACACATCTCATTCCAGGAGTCAAAGGTCAAAATTAAAGTGACAACTGGATATAGAAATGTCAACTCAATCAGGTGCTCTCCAAAATATATAATCTTGTTCAATAATATGACTGCGCTGCTGCAGCGAAGATAAAACTGAAAATCGGACAATATAGAAGCTTCAGCCTTTATGAGGAGATATAAAAATGATGACACAAGTCATATATTTTCAATATGTGTCTTCATAAATCCATCATGACATTTGTCAAATCGTATTCCTGATGCCTTCCTCGATTAGATTATCACCAAAAGTGCCAATAGCACATCTTACTTTAAATTCAGATTAAAATCGTAAGATATTTGTAGAACACATTGCATATTGGTAGAAAGGGATCCAAGGTAGATTTGGGGTATCTGTCACTCCCGCAGCTTCCAAAATATACACAAAATTTGTCACAGTCCTTGCAAAGAAAGAAATCTAAACAACATCAGCTTTAAAAGCACTAATTCACAGCAAAAAGAAGCGAAATCCAGATTTTTTGGATATGGGACTTTTGGGGGGAGTACGAGCATCCATTTTATGCCCCAATCAGCGTCGAAAACCATCTTTCTGCTTCCGCTTCCATGTAAATTCGCAAATGATCGACATCACAGCTGAACATATGCACGCATCTCGGTATGTCACATTACATATAGACACAATTACACTAAGGGATGGTAAACACAAGCTCATTGCAAGCTCCTTGTTGGCTGTGTAACTGGAAGCTTTGGGCAAAATTACAGAAAAGAAGACCGTAATCTATTCATATTTTATGTGCCTAAGGTTACTTTATCCAGGACCATATCATATTCAGATGTTTTGTATCTATCTACGAGATAACGATAACATAATTTGTGAGGTTTACTCCTCCATCATTCGGTGCAGGCGTCAGGTTCATCGGCACTAACCATGGAAGACAAAATATTGTTCTGGCTTGAATTAACAAAGACTAAAAACGAACAAAAAGGGGGCTTATTTCATCCATTGACTCTCCAATGCATTTATGGCTAACAAAATTTTGGAATCATTTATTCAGAACCTCATATTGTCTTCAATATTGTCTTTTGTTGTCTTCAGACATTTCTCCGACGTCTGACAAGGAAATATTACTGGTTTTTAGTTTGTTCTGCATCTGTCGGCCACTCACTTTTTGCACTTTAAAGCAGAACACTTTCAGCACCTGAAAGGAGCACTGTGAGCACTGAAAGAGTAACAATGACCAGCTACTCTGTCTCAGTCTCTCAGTAGCTCTACCACAGCCACCGCACCGGTATAGCTCGTGGGCTTGTTTTACAGTGGGGTGAATACTCATACTCCCAACTGGTTAGTTACTCTCTGTTTCTCAGAAGCCTTACCACACCTAAGGAACCAGCTCGCGCTCGTGCTCGTCTAACAGTGGGGGCGGGCGGTGGGCGTCTCCGATCGAGCCAGTGCCGATCGGACGGGTCTCGTCGGGAAAACCGGAGATGGCCGGTCGATTACCGCTCTCCTCTGGCGCGGTGATTAACCGGGTGTGTGACTGACTCCGCGCTGGGCTGCCCCATACTGCTCAGTGTGGGTAGCTGGGCGAAACCCCGCCACGGAACTGCAACGTTTCTTAGTGCCAAGACTGAGAAAAAAAAAACACGGGAAAGACTCGGGAAAGACTCCAAAGAGAGACGCCAAGCTGGACAATTGGAGAGCGTTATCTCTGGTACAGAGCTCACGCAGTGGCTTGGTGAGACTCAGCTCGTCAGTCACATTCGACATGGCGTGATTTCCAATGACAGAGACGACATCCTGTGGCGTGCCCTTCGCGTGTCACCGCGGCCCTCGCCTCTGGACAGAGCACAGGGCAGACTCCGGCCGGGAGGCGGAGGGAGGGAGACCCACGCCCCGCGCCGTCTCACACGGGGAGGCCCGAGCGGCGGACAGAATAGCGTGCGAGGCCAGGGCGGGGCTCCCAGCGTGGCTGTGGGTGACGATAGTCACACCCACCGCGGAGATGGACGGCCGAAAATAAATAGGGCTTTGTTGACGGCGCTACGGGTGTCAGATTGAGTTATTATACGATGGGAAGTTCGTGAGTTTAGTCAGGTGGCCATGCGAAGGCTGGCCCGTTCTGAAACTACATGCACAGTGGGCATCGGGTACGGCGGAATATGAGCTCATCGAATAACCCGAAACGTGCAGAATCTGCTCTCAATATCAGTAAACAGTTGAAATTCTTGGCCGCGAAGGGCTGTTTGAGCCGCCCACAGCCGATTTAACGATAGTGTCGCGGTTTCACGGATGATTGGATTGTAGCACATTTGGCTATAATCCGTTGCATGCCTATCGTTCGGGCGATACCTTCCGTGCAGCTTCTGCACTGGATCTGTACCCCATGCGGTTCCTCTGAGGGTCCCGATAGACTGTTTGTCCGCCGCCACCTGTTCGATAATGGCGGATCAATGAGAGTTGATCTGGCCCACCGGTCATCTGTCAGGCACAGACACTCCGGTCATTGACAAACGGGAGCGACCGCCGTCATCCGACCTTCGGCAAAACAAATATTCCACTCGATCGGCTGATGACTTCTATGAGCGATAAGCGCTCAGTCCGGCGTTATTAATCGAACGCTACATATCACCAATCACAATCACAGCGGAAAGATCATTTCGATTTCAAACAAGACGCGCCGCCGACAGTCGTTGATACCGTTAGCGATTAACTAACGAAGTTGGA